TCACAGTGGCATACACCATCTACCTACCTACCCACTACTGGCACTACTAATAGCTCAAACAATTAAAGTTAATATTTTGTATTAGTGTTATTACCTACAGGCCGAGGTTAACTATCTTTCAGCGAAGAAATGCGTACAGTGTCATATAATTTATATTAAATGCAGGTAGAGGGCGCAATTCAACATCACCCGCTCACGATCATTCAAATATCCAATTATAAAATGTCCACATAATAAAATAATGAAGTACACACCTATTACACATTTACACATATGTTTTATCGTTTTACATCATAATCTAAGAGAGTAAACTAACATTTGTATCTCACGTACAATAGGAAAGAACTACCTGGTATAATATATATGTGGAGCACAATACAAGCAACATATTCAGAGTTAGATGAAATTGGATAGTCTGTCCCTGGTAACCAATATATGTATTTCCTTATAATGAGTAATTCATTGTTTGAGAAGCATCGCGCATTATCTCATGTAGTCATCGACCTGTTCTATTTTCAGCTAAGGCTTATCTACCTTCATTTGCCATCCGGTTAACGCCGCCACAATCAACGATTTGACTCATATCACATCAAGTTGAAGCAAATTCAGGTTACAATTTAATTGTGTCAGAGTGCTTGAGGAAAAATATTCATTTTCACAAAGTATAGAGAAATGTAGTTTATATTTAAACGTATTATTTTGTACTATAATTAATGTTAATTATAACTAATTAATATAACTTATATAATATAATATAGTATATTACACAAAAAATACTTTTGTACCAGAATCAATATGATATGCACTGCAAAGGTATTATATTCGACTTTTGTGACTTAGATTTGGCGAGGATGCTGGTTACTGAGGATGTCAATTATCAACAAATATATATGATGGTTTCTATGGATACTATTATCATAGTAAGTAATGACACACCGGCGTAGCCTATTCCATGCATACTTGTCAAATTAATTTGTACATTTGATCCAACCAACCAACTGACCAGCAATGAATCTCGTCTGATTATATTTAACATGACGAAATGCAACATAGCAGTAACAATTGTCACGATATACAAGAGAAGTGCATGAGGTCGTGTTTGCTAATACAAATAATTAACAAATTTGCATTTGCCAGCCGTCGGTTTTGCAATTCTTATTACGCTGCACTGTAAGTTCCGTCCGTATTTGTTAAAATTACATTTTGTTTCAATCGCAAGTTGGCATAATGAACACGATACGAAAAACGTGAAAAGAGGCAATTTAGAACACACACTCTGGAATGATAACAAACATTATAGAGGGCGCTAGTAGAAGTTGAACAGCTTATTATAAAAGTCGAAATTTTAGATGGTACGTATTGTTAACCCATGATAATAGGGTAGTAAATATAGCCGTACCACCACAGCATTGTATACACGCTTATATGTGTATATTTAGTTGTACTTGTACAATATTTATTACCTTGCTGAATGGCGTTTCTTTTAATTGCAATGTCAATATTCTTAACATGTGTGTCTGTCTATACAAATGGTTTTTCATTTATTTAATATAAAACCTCCCCACATGTTAATTAATGGGCATATAATATAATCCTAAATTTTGTCATTAATGATTTACTAAAAAAAATGCCCGCAAAAAAGTATGGAAATGTCTTTTACAGCCGAGTGGAATTATATGAAAGCTGCTCATTACATGG